AAAACAGGATCACTGCCAACAAATATTCTGCTTTTTGAGCTAATGAGGCAAAAGACATCTGAGCCAAGATTGGAGATAGCCATTTATTTCTCAAGTGGCAATTAACACACAGGAAGTGGATGGGAGTACAGTTGATTGGAGTAGTCAAGCCAGTGAATCAAGACTTCCAAATATTTCTTGAATCTATGGATGCTCTTTAAATAAGGGAGCCAGGGAGACATATTTGTTGCACTAACATCTGTCGGTCCAGTTGGTTACAAATATCTTCAACTCTGAGGTTAATCAAAATTTTCACACTCTGATTTAGGGTATGTCTAGGCTGCAGTTGTATGCATGCCATGCCTGCTGGCTGTGGCGCTCTGTCCCCCTCTAGTGGCATCTCAATCACTTAGCGATTAATGAGTCTACTACAGCCTTAGCTAAGTGCCATGTGGCTTTTAGCTTATGCAGTAGCAGCTTATGCATTTAGCTCTGGAGATCCCAGGTTCGATCCTGCCCACCGACAGACCCTGGTTGTCAGTGTTACCCAGTCACAGGGTGTGAACGCAGTTCAAGCCGATGTATCTGTAGTAAGATGAGGCTCTGAAACAAACCCTTGTATAAGAGGCCTGGTATGAGGCCTAAGGCCTGAACTAAAGTAATGGTCGAGACCTTGCTAACATAAAGCAAAGTTAAGCTGTGAGCCAGAGGCAGGCCCTGCTCACAGAAGCTGGCAAGGAAAGGGGTGATGTTGCAAAAAGACACATACCTAAAAGGTACCAGAACACTCAGATACTTGCACATCCCACACAGATAACAAAGAACAGGCTGACCCATCCTAAAGATGGGCAAAAGGGTAACATGTTGGATAGAGTTGTTTTGTTCGAACCAACATGTACAAGGTGAGAGGCGGCACCTTTCTGCGTAGAGGGGTTGTACCTTGCTACATAGAGGAGTTGCACCTCAGTACGTCAGGAATGATGTGTAACTTGTTTGTACCTGTGTATAAGAATACATCTCTGGGGCAATGTCTTTGTCTGGCCTAGGGGGTAGTGGAGAGTCCCGCCACTGACTGAGCCGGTCCATTGTCAGGGGGCACATAGCCACAGTATGTCCTGTAGAGAGTGCTGGAAACTATTACTGTGCTTTGTTTGACAATAAACCTGGCCGGGTGCCTTCGTACCTTATCGGAGTCTGTGGTCATTGGGGGTTCTCTCGGGGTCTGTTGTGCCAGCTATCTGCGCAGAGACAGGGCAGCACACAGAGAGAACACACACACACAGCTGACTGTTATCAACATTAAACAGAGCAGAGCACCACACCGGTGGCGTCTGACAACAGTACCCATGCTAGCTTCAATCTCACTAGTTTGGGTCCTGGAACGGTGAAGCCAAGGCAGCGTGAGCATCAGCGTGGGCTAGCCCCGTGAGTAATTATCCAGGGTCCAAGGTGGGCTTGTATAGCTAGCGCTGCCGCTGTTTCACTGTTCCTGGACCCAAGCTAGGTGATGGAAGCTAGTTCAGGGATGTCAGCTAGAGCTCCAGTCGCACCCCGTGACTGCAGTCTATACATACCCTTTGAGTGCTGACTAGACTTGGTTCTTAAAACCCTCAATACGGCAGAGATCAATGGCCTTGCAAAAGCCAAGAGCGTTTTAAAGGTTTAAACCTATTACGCTGTTGCTCCAAACATAACCTTGGTAGCCAACGTAAATTCATTCCTACTCTTACACCAACCCTTACATATTGGGCTTTGGCTGATGTAGAACATTCACCAACCTCTGTCCTACGTAAATCAGCTGGGGCTTAGTTAAGAAGATCAAGTATTCTCCCCAAGAATGTATTTTGCACTACCTCTAACGACCTAAGCATAGGCGCCGACTCTGTGGGTGCTCCGGGACTGGAGCACCCACGGGGAAAAAAATAGTGGGTGTTCAGCACCCACCAGCAGGCCTCACCGATCAGCTCCTCCCCCTCCCTCCTAGTGCCTCCATCCCAGTGCCTCCTGCCCACCAAGGATCAGTTCAGCAGTGGGCAGGAGTTGCTGGGGGGGCAGAGGGAGGAGCAGGCAGGGCAGAGTGGGGGCAGGAAGAGGCGGGGTTGGGCCTTGGGGGAAGGAGTGGAGTGGGGGCAGGGTCTGGGACAGAGGGGGGGTCGAGCACCCCCGGGAAATCAGAAAGTCAGCACCTCGGACCTAAGATCTTTCCAGCCCCAAATTTCCGCACGGTATAAAATTTGAGCACCCACATTAGCCCTAAGCATTCAGAGAGCCTGCGCAATTAAATTACCCCCAGGCACACAAGAAAAACAAACAGCTACTTGCATGGATCTTATGGTTCAGCCCTTCGACTCCTTTTTATGTTTATCCCATTCACCACTGTATGTAAAGCAAGTATTCAGATAAGAAATGGACTTAACCTGCTCATTACTGTGGTCATCGATTACTCGTTTATGCACCTTTGGTCTGCAGCCAAAGATAATTGCTTCAGTTCTCTGCTAATTTAGAGTCTTACGCGCCTGCTGACAGAAAAATACTAAATTCCCTTCCCAAACTCTTCAGCCCCAGAGGAGTGTGGGACCCCAAACCATATTCTCTGCGGACAAGAGGACTGACGCTGATTGGTTCCGAATTTTAGGAGCATAATATTTCTCCCCCTGTAATGCAGCCTAACTCACTGGGAGAAGAATCATTCTGTTAGTGCCAATTTTGAAATTCCCCCACATCCTCCTATCCACAATGGTCCCTCTGCCCCCTATTTCTGCAAATGCCCCCCCTCTTTGGAACTCCTCACCTGTGCCCAATTCCCCTCTACAGTCAGAAAAGCCTGAAGCCCCAGCAACTAACACAGTCCAGGGAATATTATCTCGCAGTACACGAGTGACCCCAGGGCACATTTTGGACCAAGCCTGTAGCTAGGTGCCATTTCACACCTTGTATTTGCTGTCAGATTTTGGGCCAGACTCTGCTCTTGTTATGCTGATGCAAATCTAGAGTGATTCCATTGCATTTAGTGGAGTCGCACTGGAATTAGGTTGGTGTAACTGAGATTGGAATGTGGCCCTTTGTTTCTGTTCTATTCTAAGTTCTTATACCACCCTCATCACCCTAGTACCCATAGTTCTCTCCTCTTTATACACCTCAGGCAACAGTGGGCATGATCCAGAAGAAGAGATATTACCATGAGTTCAAAGGGCATCCCAGGCTTGAAGTACTTGGGTGTTTTTGTGAAGTGGATCTGATAGGGAGAGGTCACAATGTTAATTCCGGTTCTCTCCGCTTCCACCATGTCGCTGCCTGCAGAGAGAAGCCGTGGGTCAATTAAAACTGAGCGAGGCAATACAGATTTTGTCCTTAAGGTCCAGAGTAAAACACAAGGAATAGGCCACGGTCAGATGTTGATTCAGTGCTGCTGATTCTTGTGATTTTATCATGAGTCTCCTGTTTTAATTCCTTGTCTTCAAGCCCCAGCTGCTAGAATCACCATATGGCATGAGAATCTCAGCTGTCGTTTAAAAGAAGAAATAAGTTTCTAACCCTCCTGGTTGCAGAGAAAAGCTTGAAAACATGTCCCAAGTGTGATCTAACGCCTCCACAGTCAGGAGGGAAAGAAAAACACGCAACGTTTACTATTTAAAAAAAAAACATGATTTTTTTAATATGATCTCATGATTTTGGCAGTGGGGGGACTGACTTGTGATTTTTGCATGTTTGGGGTTGGCATTACTGCAGGCCATTCAGCCTGATTCTGTTCTCGCACCAGTATAAATCAGGGATAACTCCCCTATAGTCAGTGGCACTGTAACAGTGAAAACAGAATCAGTCCCTTTCATGCTAAAATGACTTATTTTAGCTTTTAAAGATGCAACAAGAAAGAACAAAAACAAAGTCTCTGGGAGGGAGAGAGAGCACAGTGTGTGTGTGTTTGTGTATCTATATAATAAGATTCCAGGACTATCACTCTGTCCATGAACCACTCTGAACCCTAGAACGTCTGTTGTGTGTGTGTGAAGTCATGGAAGCAGCTATATAAGCAAGTGAAGGGCTCTTTTTAGTTACAATATCACCAGGTTCAATCATCACTGGGATTTGAAGTCTGTTACAGGCCAATTTTTAAGTCCCCAGCCATTCTGCCTTTACCAGCCTGGTGTACAGCTCCAATAAGGCATGTACCATGCCAAGAGTTCTAGACCATTGTGATATCAGACACAACTCAACCAACCAATCACCACCTTTACTCTACTACTAATTTGCATGCAGTAATGTCATTGGTTGTTTGGATTACTTGGTCCAATTGCCACACCCGTGCAACGGCACAGGCTTTCAGCTACTAGTTTCATCTGTAACAAGCTACAGCTGCTCGGAACAGAATGGCTGCTCCCTCTGCAGGGAAAGTTTAGAAATCATAGCTATGTAGAGCTGGAAGGGAGCTCAAGAAGTCATCTAGTCCATCCCACACACTGAGGCAGGAGTAAGTATGCCTAGACCATCCCTAAGAGCTGACCTGGAGCTCTTAGAAATTGAAAGGTTCAATGCACAGAAAACAAAGGTGCAACTGTTTCAAGCTACTTTCGCTGGTGAAAATCTGGAGTTTTTCCAGGTGTGACACTACACCCCATATTCTTCATAGAAATATTGTTATTATATGATTACAGCATAACTAAGATGTGTTTTATGCAAGATGGGTCTTGTGAGATATCATTGGAAAGGTTATGATGTACTAAATATGATTATCCCATTTGTATGAATGTATCATTTTTGTACCTTAAGTTAGAAATATTGACTATACATCGGTACTACAAAAGTGTTTGCACCTGGAGAATGCCCACCAGACAAAATGCAATCAGTCTGGCTGGCTAGCTGGATACAAGTCAATAGACTATTAGACTATTAGGGAGAATAATAGGACTTTGAAGAGGGTAATCTCCCATCTCCCAGGGATGCTGCAAATGGACTTTGAGTTATGGCTGCAGGGTCATGTGATTAAGTCACCTGATACTAGACTCCATAATAAAATTAGTACTTTTCCACTGGCCAGGGATGGGAATCACACTGGAAGACAAGCAACAAAGTCTCCTGTGGCACCTTATAGGCAGATGTATTGGAGCATAAGCTTTTGTGGGTGAATACATCTGTTAGTCTATAAGGTGCCACAGGACTTTGTTGCTTTTTACCGATCCAGACTAACATGGCTACCCCTCTGATACTGGAAGACAAAGGATTCCCGCCATATGTGAAACCTATTTAAGGCAGGGAAGTGAGATAATCAGGGTCGGTTCTTCACTGAATCCCCGCCCAAGGTGACTGCTGTAAACACCTAAGACTGATCTGGGGAAGATGGGACTGAACTCAGGCTAGAGTGTGTCTGGCCTGTGAAAGAAATACCTGGAGTTTGAAGCTGCTAGCAAGAGCAGCTTGCCTTCAAGAAACTCTGCAATCTGCCTAAACAACAGGGTGAGAAATTTGTGCTTGTAACCAGTTTCTTTAGTATCTGCGCTTATGTTGCATTTTTGTTTTGTTTGCTGGGTAATCTGCTTTGATCTGTTTGCTATGCCTTATCATCACTTAATACCTATCGTTTGTAGTTAATAAACTTGTTTTTGTTTTCTCTAAAACCAGTTTGTGGAATTCATAACTGGGGAGCAAAAAGCTGTGCATATCGTCCTGCACATTGAGGGAGGGGGCGGATTTCAGGAGCTTATGCTGTACAGTTCTCTGTGCAGAGCAAGACAGTACAATTTTGGGTTTACACTCCAGAGGGGGTGTGCACTTGAGTGCTGGGAAATTCCTTAGCTGAAGCCTTCCCCTGCAGTGCTGATTTCAGTGTCTGTCTTTCTGCAGCTGGGCGTGTCCCTACCTGTGTCTGTGCTGAAGGAGGCTTGAGAGGGCCTGGCTCAGCAGGATAGTGTAAGGGAGCCCAGGCTGGTGGAACAGGCAGGCTCGGTGATACCCCAATACATCAGGTGGCACCCCGAGGGGGGAGCAACCCTCACACCAGGTTTACCCCAGAGCGAATGAGGTAAGAATCTGGCCTGCAGCCTTTAAGATCTGCAGAACCCTAAGCAGATAGGGCTTTATGCAGCTAAATCAACACCTTGAACTGCACTCGGCACCAGTTTGGAACACCCCGGGAATAAAGCACTTGGCGGTGCACTTATTGCTGATGCTCACCAGATTCTGTCAAAACGGTGACAGAGATGTAGAGCGAGTGGCCAACCAGTTCGTTCAGGTTGGCGAACCGAGCCTGCAGCATCGCTCTGGTCAGCGTTGCTTCCCCGTCTCCATCTTCTATCTAGAAAGGGAGAGAGAGTTTCATGACCTCACCCACGCAGTTCCCCAGGAGGCGTGAATCCCTCCCCCTCACAGCCGAGAACAGGAATTACCGAGATTCTCTTGAGAGACTGCGGGATACTCCTCTTCTCATCATCCACCTTCACCCCAAAGAGGACAAAGGCATTGCCATCTAGTTTTTTCCCATATAGGTACCTGGAGGAGATACGGATGGATAAGAGAAGCCACAAGAAAACCTATTGCTGAATATTATGGCCTCATGCCACCCTTCTCCTCTATAGGCCCAGCTCCTTGGTTGGTCTATATCTCCCATGATCCACCATGTTAAAGAGAAGGGGACCATCATGGCTATGGTGCATTATAGGAGTTTAAGTCCAGCTAGCAAGCCCAGCCCCTGGAGAAGAATGGAAGAATGAAACACCCGAATGGCAACTCCCATGAGGCACCGCACCAGCATTTCTGAATCACAAGGTTTTCAGACATTTTTTTTCCCATTTTTGGACATTGGTTTCTGGATAAAAAAAAAAAAAAAAAGAATTTTCCATGGAAAAAGGATGCTCTTCATGAAAAAAAAATAATTAATGGAAAACATTCCCAAAGTGATGCAAGATTTAGGTTTCTTTCTGCACTAAAACCTGTGGTTGATACCCCACTCAGCTGATCCCTTCCA